TAGAAAAGCATCTATTTGCTACTTGAAAAAGTTTGATGAAAGAATTTGTGGATGAAACTATTTACAGCTTTTGTAATTGATCACATGATTAGTTAGTGATGATGTGAAAACTTCAACTCAAATTTTTTTGAATCCTAGTGTGTTTTAAATTACAATATACTGACTTAAACTTGATGCATTTTGATTTGGGAATCAATTTAAATCAAAAGGAACATAGAGAAACTGTCATTATTGTGCATCCACTAAGGAAAGGTACTTTCTATAAGTCATAAATCATCTGATCAACAGTCGTTTCCGTTGCTATTGTTAATCACCCTTCACAATTGTCATACCTCTAGCTCTACATTTACATCTGTATCTGTAGCTATACCTTGTGCTAAATATTTTCTCAAATATTTTTACTTAACTTTACAGTGACATTACGATGAAAGTAAAAATAATACTCCCAGTTTGAAAATGAGAATAGTGAAATTTAGCAAAGTTGTGACTTGCCCAAGTTTACATTGCCATGAGATTATAGGGCTGCAACATGAACAGTTCTCAATTTTACAACTTGTATATCTAATGATAATAACAATGCTGTCATGATAGTGAAGTCAGCAATGGCAACAACTGTAATACAATGATCTCAATAATTATAATGATGATGATGATTAAGAGGATGTTAAAGAAAAGATAAGGAAGGAGATATTAGAGGGAATAGTACTATTTATATGTATTTAGAGGTTTGAGGAAGGAGCCCTGGTGGTGCAGTGGTTAAGCCCTCAGCTGCTAACTGAAAAGTTGGCTATTTAAGCCCATCAGCCACTCCACAGTAGAAAGGTTTGCAGTCTGCTTCCATAAAGATTTACTGCCTAAGATACCGTATGGGATAGTTCTACACTGTCTTATAGGGACCCTATGAGTCAGAGTTGACTCAAGGACAATGGGTGTAATTTGGGTTGCGAGGTTTGAGGTCACCTTGCCCATGTTTCACATGAGCTTGGCTACTTGTCTTCTTTTTGACCATGAAAAAATTGATTTAGATAATTATTTTACCTGGAAAATAGGCAAAATGATAGTAACCACATCATGAAAAGGAGCCCTGGTGGCACAACAGTTAAGCCCTTGGCTGCTAACCAAAAGGTCAGTGGTTTGAACCACCAGCCTCTCCACTGAAGAAAAGACCTGGTGATCTGCTGTCATAAAGATTACCCTATGGGACAGTTTGACTCTGTCATGTAGGGTCGCTATGAGTCTCAGTCACCTCCATGGCACACAACAACAACAACAATCTCACGAAAAGACTGCTGTCAGAGTTGCATGAGTTACTTCATGTACTTCTTACCACTAATCAGTCAGGCAGTTTCACAGATGTTTAGGAAACTTGGGAAATTTAGTTAATACATTTGCCCATACTTTCCCAGCAAGTACGTGAAAGAGTTTGAATTCATACCCAGATTTCTCTGACACCAAGTTCATGTTCTTTCTACTATGCCACACTTTCCCTAATAGCGTATTTAACAAAACACAATATCACTGATAATATATTTGTAGAATCTCTGAATGAAATTTGAATGCTGATCATTTTAGACAACTATAGAAATACAGAAATTACTCTGCCACAAAGCAATGTGTAGCCAATTCAAGTGATACCAATGAGTTTTTAGAAATTGTACACAAAATCCTTTTCAAAAATGGTTGATTTTTCCCAATACATACATCTGGCTATCTCACAGCATTTTAAAATAGAGAAATATAATTTTCAGAAACTTGAGTTTACAAAACATGGTGGTCATGAACTCTTCTCCATATTTCAAAACCGGGCACCCACACACAGCTTCTCTGGGTGGTTGGCCCAGTGAATCATGCCACAAATTTAGTACTGGTTGAAGGTACTGAGTGCCAAACTAAATTCCTAATGTTCTGTTTCAATTCAGCAAATTCTCTCGTGGCTTATTTTGGAAGAAGGGCATATTGGCTTACTGCCTAATTTCTTACTCAACCCTGCATTGGAGGCAAAGAGCCAGACTTTGAGAGAATTCTGTGTGGATTTTTTTTTTTTTAGTTCCTTTTTCCTTTATAATTACATATCATGTTGATTGAACATCACTGATGGTTGGGGAAACAATTCAAAAAAAGGATCCTGCCATCTCTTAAATGCAAATAAGATGAAAACTGGTTCACATTTTGAATAATGAGTTTATGACCAGTTGTATTAATAGCTTGTGGGGAATATGAGTGAGGAGACAATTGGTTCCCTAAATTAAGGTAAGAATAAAGCTGACTAAAAGCAGTATCAGTCAGTTGGTCTGAAAATACTTTATAGCATGACCAGAAATGCCCAGGATAATTAAAAGTTTAGGGACTTAGAGGGCTATAGTTCTAAATCTAAGGATAAAGTCTGAGATGAAGTCACTTCTTTGGTAGTGAGTGGCATAATCAAATACAAAAGAAACTATGAAAAAATGCAAGTGCCTGTTTTGTCAGCATGTTGTTGTTGTATGCCATCAAGTCAATTGCAACTCACAGCAACCCTATGTAACAGAGTCGAGCTGTCCCGCAGGGTCTCCTAGGCTGCAATCTTTATGAGAGCAGATCGCCAGGTCTTTTTTCTTGCAGAGCCTTTGGGTGAGTTCCGACCACTGACTTTTCACTTAGCAGCCAAGCTTGCACCACCAGGGCTCCTTATTGTCAACATAGACATAATTATTCATTTTCAGCCAGTACCTAGAGATTTCATCTTGATATCTGGATATAATCATTCATTTTGAGCTAGTATATAGAGATTTTATCCTGTTACACAAATTTTCTTGGTCACATCTTCCTCTACCTTTTTTACCACTGATTCTCAACATAGAAAACACAGTACATCAAGTGCCAGTGATGAAAGATGAAAGTCAATTATGCCCATGCGTTTTTGAATCCACTTCAATTTGTGTTCTCAGTTTACATAATTTAAACATATTTTTTCAACTTTTAAAAATGGAGTTATGTCATAAATATTTTCCAATATTTCTCTGATTAGCTTAGTCATATTTGCCTAAAAAATAGATTATTTCAAAGATGAACAGAAAAAAATAGAATATACCATAAGATAGACAAATGTAGTACTGAAGTAGATAAGGCTAATAGGATTATTGTCACCACTAATAATCTTGTATTGTCATGAAGGCCATGAATGTCCTCGTACATCTCCAGAAATACACCTAATTTAGAAAATAGCTTCTCCTCCCTTAGATCTTTTAGTTGATATAATACATTTTGAAAATACAAGTAAGAACACAAACTTTAATCAAGCAATTTGAACTTAGTTCTACTTTGTTATGAAGGGGTTCTGGTGGTGCAGTGGTTAAGACCTCATCTGCTAACCAAAAGGTCAGCAGTTCAAATCCACCAGCCGCTCCTTGGAAACCCTATGGGACAGTACTACTCTATCCTGTAGGGTCGCTATGAGTTGGAGTAGACTCGATGGCAATGGGTTTTTTCTTGTTGTTGTTATTGTTATGAAACTTTAAAAGTGATATATTTTAGACTCTACAATAAAAACTATGACTTAAAGTATTAAAAATATAGACCCCATCATATGTGGTCAGAATGGGTGTCTTACACATATCTAGTCATTTGACTAAGTTGATCTATATTAGTTGCAGATATTTTTTCCTCTTTGGGTTAATTAGGTTAATTCAATATAAATTGAAAAATGGAATCTGAGTTACATCTGTTGAAGACTATTTTACCTAAAATTTTCTGTCTGTCTGTCTATCTATCTCTCTATATATCTACCTATTTATCATCTATTTATATGGAGCCCTGGTGGCAGTGCTTAAGAGCTCAACTGCTAACCGTAAATGTCGGCAGTCCAAAACCACCAGCAGCTTCTTGGAAACCCTATGAAGCACTTCTACTCTGTCCTGTAGGATTTCTATGAGTCAGAATCAACTCAAAGGCAGTGGGTTACTCATATGATTGATTAGTTTTCAACTTCAGGCTAACTAATAAAATACAAACTATTTACAATTTTTGTCTTGAAAATTCTACTTAATATCTTGAACTGAAAATTTTTCAAAATTTCTATATCCAGTTAAGTCTCATGTGTTACACCATCTGCCTTTAAAAATATATTTGGTTATAATTTTATCCAAGGTTGATAAATGACGAGAAGAAAGAGAACAAGGTGTTTTAGGATTCCAAGTGTGATTGTGACTGATTTGCAGCACAGGTAAACTTTATGAATTTTTTGTTTTTGTTTTTACTTGAAAAATGCAGGTATCCTAATGCTGATAAAGAACTGAAAAACGGTACTGAGATATAGTTTACTTTTTTCTTGTGATACCCCTGAAAGGAATCAAGAACATATTAGTAACAGGGGTTTTGAACGTGGTATCATGTGGCTAATGTTGACATTTAGTAGGTATTAGAAACTTCGTTTTTTAGCAAGCAGAAGAATATTAATCAGAAAAAACCGAGTTGGCAAAGCTACTTAATCTAATTTGAGTTTAGTTTCCAAACCCAACCTTGGAGGAGACTAAGAGAGTGTATGCAAATGAGTATTTTATGGAAGAATTGAGCTTCACAACAAAGAAATCAAAATTCTTAAAAGTCAACTCAGCAAGAAGTTTGCAAATATACTACTTATCTACAAGAGAATTAGAGGATTTGGGAACTGTAAATTATGGTGGAGAGAAATAATAGCAACAGATGAGGGGGATGCTAAATCACCAGATTTTAATTACCAGATAAACAGTTCATATTTAAACATAATTGTTATATGTGATAATGATACTATTTTCACAACATGATACACAGAAAAAGTATAACCATGTAAATAAATCCTTTGTTTTATGAACTTTCATCTAACATTAATGAGCTAAAATCTATAAATTCTGATATTTAGTTTGAGGTTACAAGAATAATGTAGATTAGAAAAGATTAACAGTGGGTTTAAAATATGAATAAAGACAATTTTTATCACCAAATCATATATATTTACAATAATTTCTTCAAGAAATGGTAAAAAAGTGATTGCTTCAGCAGCGCAAATACTCAAATTCAAATGATACAGAGAAGATTAGCATGACCCCTGCACATGGATGACACACAAATTTGTCAAGTGTTCCATATTTTTCAAAAGCAAAGAATTACAACAGGGAACCAGAGAGGTTAATCTGTAAATGACAACATCAGAACAATAAAAGAGGGAATAAATGCTGTAGGTATAGAACTTTCTAATGGAGAGGGAGGCAAGGTGATACCAAGTAATAATAGACTGGTTCAAACCTAGGAAAATAAGTGTAAATTTCAAGGTAACCACAAAGAAAGTTAACAAACCTACTCAGCAAAACAAAGAAGAAAAACATAAAGTCTCAGTAAAAACAAAAACAAAAGAAATGAAAAAAAAAAATCCACAAACAAAAGGAATTCAGCACAGGAGAGTAAGAGAAACAAAAAATCAGCACCACAAAAAAAAAGTACTATAAAATAACAGCAATAAACTCACTTCTATCAATAATTATACTTAATGTAAATGGCCTAAATACACCCATAAAGAGAGAGAGTGACAGAACGGATTAAAAACAAGATCCATCAATATGCTGTCTACAAGAGACACACCTTAGAAACAAAGACGTAAGTTTATTAAAAATCAAAGGATGAAAAAAAATATATCAAGCAAAAAAGAGCAGGAGTGGCAATACTAATCTCAGATAAAATAGACTTTAAAACAAAATCCACCATAAAAGACAAAGAAGGACACTATATAATGATTAAGAGGATGCTCCATCATGAAGACATAACTGTAATAAACATCTACACACCCAATGGTAGGGCTCCAAAATACGTAAACTCTAACAGCACTGAAGAGAGAAATTGACAGTTCCACAATAATAGTAGGAGACTTCAGCACGCCAGTCTCGGTAAAGGACATAACATCTAGAAAGAAAATCAACAAAGATAGAGAAGACCTTAAGGGCACAATCAGCCAATTTGACCTCATAGACATATACAGAGCACTCCACCCTACAGCTGCAAACTACACATTCTTTTCCAACGCAGATGGAACATTCTCCAGAATAGACCACATCTTAGGCCACAGAGCAACCCTCAACAAAATCCAAAACACTGAGATAATAGAAAGTATCTTCTCTGACCACAACACCATCAAGGTGGAAATTAACAACAGGAGGAGCAAGGAAAAAGAATCAATTACATGGTCACTGAATAACACCCTGCATACAAACCACTGGGTAATAGAAGAAATTAGAGAAGGAATCAAAAAATTCCTAGAATCAAATGAGAATGAAAACACATCATACCTAAGCTTTTGGGACACAGCGAAACCTGTCCTCAGAGGACAATTTATAGCAATAGATGCACACATCAAGAAATAAGAAAGGAACAAAATCAAAACATTAACTACAGAACTCAAACAAACAGAAAGATAACAGCAAAAAAAAAAAAAAAAAAGCCCACAGCCACTAGAAGAAATAATAAAGATCAGAGCAGAAATAAACGAAAGAGAATAGAAAAACAATAAAAAGAATCAACAAAACCAAAAGTTGGTTCTTTGGAAGGATCAACAAAATCAACAAATCACTGGCCAGACTGACAAAAGAAAAACAGGAGAGGACACAAATAACCCAAATAAGAAGTGAACTGGGGGACATTACAACAGACCCAACTGAAATAAAAAGGATCATAACAGAATATTATGAAAAACTGTACTCCAGCAAATTTGAAAACCTAGAGGAAATGTATAAATTTCTAGAAACACACTACGAACCCAAACTAACACAAAGTAATGTTGAAACTCTGAACAGACCCATAACAAGAGAAGAGATTGAAAAGGTAATAAAATAACTAGGAACAAAAAAAAGTCTTTGCCCAGATGGCTTCACTGGAGAATTCTGCCAAACGTTCAGAGAAGAGCTTATACTAGTACTACTCAAACTATTTCAGAACATAGAAAATGAAGTGACACTTCCAAATTCATTCTGTGAAGGCAACATAACCCTGATACCAAAACCAGGCAAAGAAGCCACAACAGGAGAAAATTACAGACCAATATCTCTCATGAATCTAAATACAAAAATTCTCAACAAAATTCTAGCCAATAGAATTCAGCATCATATAAAAAAAAAAAAATACACTAAGACCAAGTAGGATTCATTCTAGGAATGCAAAGATGGTTCAACATTAAAAAATCAATCAACGTAATCCACCACATAAATAACAGGAAAGAAAAGAATCACATTATCATCTCAATTGACACAGAAAAGGCATTTGACAAAGTCCAACACCCATTCCTGATAAAAACTCTCAATAAAATAGGTTTAGAAGGGCAATTTCTCAACATAATAAAGGGCATCTATGCAAAACCAACGGCCAACATCATTCTTAATGGAGAGAGGCTGAAAATATTCCCCTTAAGAAAAGGAACAAGACAAGGATGCCCCTTATTTCCACTTTTATTTAACATTGTGCTGGAAGTCCTAGCTCGAGCAATAAGGCAAGAAAAAGAAATAAAGGGCATCTAAATTGGTAACAAAGAAGTTAAACTGTCCGTGTTTGCAGATGATACGATACTATACATAGAAAACCCTAAAGACTCCATGAGAAAACTACTGGAACTAATAGAAAGATTCAGCAGAGTAGCAGGATACAAGATAAACATACAAAAATTGGTTGTATTCCTATACACCAATAAAGAGAATGATGAAAAGGAAATCAGGAAAACAATGCCATTTATAATAGCCCCTAAAAAAAAAAAAAAAAAAAAAAACCTTAGAAACAAATCTAATGAGGGATATAAAAGACATATACGAAGAAAACTACAAAATGCTACTGCAAGAAACCCAAAGGGTTCTACATAAAAGGAAAAACATACCATGCTCATGGATAGGTAGACTCAACATTGTGAAAATGGCAATTCTACCCAAAGTAATTTACAAATACAACGCAATCCCAATTCAGATACCAACAAGATTCTTTAAAGAGATGGAAAAACTAATGTTTAACTTTATACAGAAAAGGAAGAAGTCCCGGATAAGTAAAGCACTATTGAAGAAGAAGAATAAAGTAAGTGGACTTGCACTACATGACCACAGAACCTACTATACAGCTACAGTAGTCAAAACAGCCTGGTACTGGTACAACAACAGATACGTTTACCAATAGAATAGAATTGAGAACCCAGGTATAAATCCACCTGATCTTCGACAAGAGCCCAAAGTCCATCAAATGGGGAAAAGACAGTCTTTTAGCAAATGGTGCTGGCAAAACTGGATATCCATCTGCAAAAAAAATTAAACAGGACCCATATCTCACACCATATACAAAAATTAATTCAAAAAGGATCAAAGAACTAAATATAAAGCCAAAAACTATAAAGTTCATAGAAGAAAAAATAGAATCAATGCTAGAGGCCCTAATCCACAGCATTAACAGGATGCAAACCATAACTAAGAACACACAAACTCCAGAAGATAAGCTAGATAACTGAGATCTTTAAAAATGAAACACTTATGCTCATCAAAAGACTTTACCAAAAGGGTAAAAAGAGACCTACAGACTGGGAAAAAATTTTTGGACATTACAAGTCAGACAAATGTCTAATCTCTAAAATCTACAAGAAAATCCAACACCTCTACAACAAAAAGACAAATAATGCAATTAAAAAATGGTGAAAGGAAATGAACAGACACTTCACCAAAGAAGGCATTCAAGTGGCCCACAGACACATGAGGAAATGCTCGCGATCACTAGCCATTAGAGAAATGCAAATTAAAACCACAATGAGATACCATCTCACCCCGGCATTACTGGCACGAATCAAAAACATTGAAAATAACAAATGTTGGAGGGGCTGTGGGGAGACTGGAACTCTTATGCACTGCTGGTGGGAATGCAAAATGATACAACCATTTTGGAAAATGATATGGCACTTCCTTAGAAAGCTAGAGGTAGAAATACCATATGATCTAGCAATCCCACTCCTAGGAATATATCCTATAGAAATAAGAGCCATCACAGGAAAAGACATATGCACACACATGCTCATTGCAGCACTGTTCACAATAGCAAAAAGATGGAAAGAACCTAGATGCCTGTCAACAGATAAATAGATTAACTATGGTATATATAATCACAATGGAGTATTATGCAACGAGAAAGAACAACAATGAATCTGTGAACTATCTCATAACATGGATGAAACTGGAGGACATCATGCTGAGTGAAATAAGTCCATCACAAAAGGACAAATATTGTATGAGACCACTACTGTAAAAACTCATGAAAAGGTTTACAACAAAAAGAAACAATCTTTGATGGTTACGAGGGATAGGAAGGATGGCGAGATGGAATGCTAAGTAGACAATAGATAAGTGGTAACTTTGGTGAAGGGTAAGACAGTACACAATACTGGGGAAGCCAGCACAACTTGTATAAGGAAAGGTCATGGAAGCTCCATAGACACATCCAAATTCCCTGAGGGACTGAATTGCTGGGCGGACAGCTGTGGAGACCACGGTTTCAGGGAACACCTAGCTCAATTGGCATAACACAGTTTATAAAGAAAATCTTCTGCATTCTACCTTGCTGAGTGGCGTCTGGGGTCTTAAAAGCCTGCGAGCAGCCATCTAAGATATTCCACTGGTCTCACCCCTTTGGGAGCAAGGGAGAATGAGTAAAACAAGACACATGAAAAGATTAGTTCAAAGGACTAATGGACCACAACTACCATGGCCTCCTCCAGACTGAGTTCAGTACAACTAGATGGTGCCCGGCTACCACTACTGACTTGTCTGACAGGGATCACAACAGAAGGTCCCAGACAGAGCTGGAGAAAAATGTAGAACAAAATTCTAACTCACAAAAAATGACCAGACTTACTGGCCTGACAGAGATGGGAGAAACCCCGAGAGTATGCCCCTGGACACCCTTTAAGCTCAGTAATGTAGTTACTCCTGAAGTTCACCCTTCAGCCAAAGATTAGACAGTCCCATAAAACAAAGAGACTAATGGGGCACAACAGCCCTGGGACAAGGACTAGACGGCAGGAGGGGACAGGAAAGGTGGTAATAGGGAACCCAAGGTCGAGAAGGGACAGTGTTGACATGTCGTGGGAAT